ATCCTATTCCTCCCATCTTCAATTACTCCCTTTTCCTGTATCTTTAGTCTCTTTCAGCCTTGACCCGCTTGTGCTCTGACTAGACAGTCAAATGTCTCCTACTAAAATTTCCCTTGAGCCTGAATACCCTGGAAAAACCGTCTCTTCCTTTCTTAACCAAATATGTTGAAAGAGAAACTGTCCACTTTTCCTTCCATTTATAATAAGTAAAGCATTTGTTGAGTGCCTGCTGTATTCCAAACATGGTACTAGACGTTCGGAATGGTGGTAGACAAATTGCCACCCTGCCCTCATGGGTGTCCAGCCTCCTGACCAAGCATCAGCCCTTGCCATGCCCCTGGAACTGCTTAGAGCTGCCTGGGACGTTCTAGTCCCCAAATTCCGTAGTTCTTTTCAGTCCTTACCCCTCAGCAGCATGAGACACTTAAACAATAGTTGATAATGTCCTAATACTTAATAGTTCACTCTTACAAAATAGTCCTCCCTTTCAAGGCCCTGTCATGAGTACAGAGAACAAGCACAGAATCTGCCTTTGAAAAGCTTGTGCATAGAATAGCACATAGCCCAAATGCACAGGGCCTCCCCTAAGTTAAGCCTCTCAGGGAAATATTTGCAAAGAGGCAAAAGCTTTTATTCACAAAACTTACTCTATATGCCTACCATTGATCTCAATATGCAAATTCAGATTCATTAAACAGCAAGTACATGGTGAATGATGTCAAGTATAAGTGTGTAATATCCTTTGATAACACATTTACTGCCCAAATGTTCACCATTCCTAATTTTCTTTGTGTATACCAACCCTTCCTAGTGTCCTCCAGAATAAAAACAGTTTGGACCTATTCTTAATTAGTCAGACATTATTATCCACAGAAATAGAAAAATATAAATTATGGTTTAAGTGAAAAGATAAGAATCTTCCTGATTCTAGGTTAAAAAAAATTGTTCACATTTTTGCTGGTTCTTTAGCCCCCACCTGCCAACACAGGTTCTCTAACCCCTGTCAAAGGCCCCCTCTTCTTTCTCAGTCCCCAGAGGCTGCCTTTAATGTGTTCCATCCCATAGCATCTGCTACCACTCCTCAGTTCCCTGACAAGCAAGCTGCGTGCCGGAGGTTGCCCTGAATCTTTAGAGAGCCAGAGCTGTATCCTTGGCAGAGTGGAGGAGAGCTCTTTGTATTTCATACGGTGGAATTTGGGGGCCTCAAAGCAATGTTGCTTAGGCCTCAGCATCTTACACAAGTTAGTGAAACCAGTTTTCGTATTTTTTATACTCACCCTGTAACCTCAGTATGAGTCCAGCATGGGGACCAAATTATCCTCAGCACTTCTGCTCCTCTCTAAGGCTGTCTCTCTTCGTTAAATTACTGGGTTATTATTCCCTCATTGCATCCCACTTGTTCCTCTGATACACCCAGGTATGTCTGCACCCTAGAAATGGCAGGATCCAAGCTCAAGCTGAGGCAGAGTTCCCCATTACACACAGATGTCGAAATAGAGCTATGTGCATGCTAAGGCCAGGTAAACGGGCCTGATATAGTTTCTCAAGCCCAGAGACAGCAAGTTGCCTGATGAATCACAGCTCGGGACTGACTCCTGAGAGATAGGGAAAGGACCTCATTTTGAAAGAACTCACCCAAGCTGTTAGGTTGTAGCTGTCTGACACCTTATCGGTGTCACCTGGAATTTTGCTAATGGGAAGACTTATAAATCCTGCCAGTTCCTCTGCCTGCTCCTGGAGTGTGACAAAATGGGCCTTTTCATCCTCATGGGCAAGAGGGCGAGACTTGCTAAGGACACTTCTATTTATTCTATCCCCATAGCACCTCTGCCAGGGCCACCTGCTAGTCCCTTTATTCGAGTTAGAAAGAGGTGCCGCCGCCTCCTGATGAATCTAGCCAGGGATAGAGTAACAGCTTCCACCACACAGGGCCCCCTCTGATTCTCCAGAGCAGACAGCTATTGGGAGAAGAATGGCTCCATCACAACCTACCTTTTACCTATGGGTAATTGAAACCCAGAGAGAATAAACTTGCCCAAGGTCACACAGTGAGTCAGTCATAACAAAAGAGCAGAGCTCAGGACTCCTGAAGCCCAGCCCATGGAACTTCCACTGATCATCTCCGTGGGATAAGCAGCACAGTCGTGGCCCAGTCAGGAGCCAGGGCTCCCTCCCTAGGCAGCAGAGCAGGCCCAACGACTACCAAACTCGGTGTTCTTATTACCATGTCCTCTACCCACAACAGGGAGGATCTCCTTCCTGGGGAGGATCTCCTTCCTGGGTGCTCACTGGGGGTGATGACACAGCTGAGGATGTAAATGGAAGTGGATGACTAAGTAACAGTTTCTGGGGTCCATTCCTCATGTCCCCAACGAACATAGCGAACTACAGTTCTGGTCTACCTAGAACAATGGTTCTCAAACTGCTGATTGTTGGCCTTACTACCAGAGTTTTTGATCAATGGGTCAGAGGTGAGCCTGAGAACCTGCATGTCCAGCAAGCTTCCAGATGACGCTGATGCTGCTGGTCTGGGGAACACAGTTTCATAACCACTGCCCTAGAGAAACAGACAGCTCATCCTTTCTTCCTTCCCCTTCTTCACCCTCTTCCTCCTGTCATCTCCCTCTGTTCTTTACGGCTTCCTTCTCTTCCAAAGCAAGATGGAGTGGGCCAGGCTCTGCCCAGGACCCGGGTTATGTTCCAGCTCTGTCGCTGAGTAAACGTGTGACCCAGGCAAGTCCCTGCTGCTCTCCAGGCCTGGGAGAGGCAGCCACACGGACCGTAAGCTCCCCCGCCGCCGGCCTGCCAGTTGGGGACAGTTCCTCCCCAGCTCAACCCGTGCATCCCCAGACCCTCGGTGCAGCACATGCTTGAAAAGAGCATGAATGCAGTGGCTCAGAGCTTCCTTTCGATTCAGACCCTGGGATTCCGAGTACATCTTCACTTCAGATCTGAGCTTTCCCCCTCCGGTTAGACATGACACGTGGGGTCTTTCCAGGACGAGAGGAGGGGAGGACGCTCTGGAATCGGGGCCGGTTGTTGAAGGGACCAGGCCCTGGAACAGCCCGAGAGCGGGATAGCGGGTGGGGGCTGGGCCCCTGGGGCAGGATCCTGACTCTCAGGAACGGCGAGTGCGCCTTCTCAGCGCTCGGAGCCCCCCCCCCCCCCCGCGCCTCCAGCCGAGGCTCCAGCAGGGGGCGCCAGAAAGAAGGCCAGGGCCAGTCAGGTCAGCCCAGGTGTCTGGTCTCCGGTGGGCGGGCGCGCCCGGGGCGTGGGCACCACCGAGGCACGCCCCGGCTGAATTTAAGTAGCTGCCGGCCTTTGCCAGGGAGGAAGGCGGGAGAGAGGTCCGGCTGCTGGTGACCCACTCGGACCCAGACCTAGGCACAGCCCGCACCCGACCGACCCCAGCTAGCTCTAGATCGCGACATGCGCGGTCCGAACTTGGCTCTGTGCCTCCTCCTGGCTCTGCGCACTGGTGAGGCCCCTCCGCCCCGCCGTGGGAGCAGGAGCAGGACCCCGAGCCCTCTCGCCCCCGGAGCAGGGTCCTTGGGTTGGGAATTGTGTCCTGAACCCGCGTCTCCCGGGAAAGGGGGGAGGCGTAGAAAGGCGCGAGGTGCAAATGAGGACCATGGAGGAAACTAGAGCTGATCCGGGCAGACGGGGATGTCTGGAAGGCTTCCTGGAGGAAGCGGCATTGAACTGGGCCTTGGAAAAGCGGACCTTGGGACCTGCGAGGGAGAGGCGCCGCCAGGGGCGTGGACGGGAGAGTCTAGAAGTGTTGCTGGGAGGGTAGGAGGGAAACCCGAGGGGTAAACGCTCTTGATAGACGTGGAAGGCCAAGGAGGGGTTGGCAGCCAGACAGACTCTACTTCTCCCGAGGCCCCCGCCGGAAGGGAGGCGGGAGAAGATTGGAGGGATTGGGATAGAAGGGTGGTGAGATACCTCCTGGGAGACCGCTCCAGGGCGCCCTGTAAGAGGGCTAGTAGCGCCCGGGGTTCGAAGCCTGGCTGGTGGGATGGAGGAGGGGGCGCGGGAGGGTCTCCGGGAGCTCGCGCGCAAAGGGCGTGGGCGGGGACCTCTGACCTCATCAATACAAAAATGGACGGCCACCCGGTTGAGCTCTGCAACTGCCAGTCCCACCAGGGTTCAGTCTTGCAGCCCAGAGGGGAGGGAAGATCCATATTCCAGGATGCTGCCCGGAGTGGAACGAGGCGAAGGGGATGGAAGGGAGGCTGTGGAGAAGCCAGCAGCCTTGACCCTTGAGGGGATGGGAAGCGCAAGCTGCTGTGAGAGGGTGGTCTGGTCCCCGAGCGAGGGACCTGGACCCAAAGGCGCACGTGAGCACAGGCTTCCCTGCAGTCTTGGCTGGGCAGGTGAGCGGTGGAGGAGCCCAGGTCTGCGAAGACACCCACCTCCAGGAACCCCGGCACTTCTGCAGGGCCCAGGCTGGGAGCTCCCTGGGACTCTAACCTGTTCAAATCACAGGATCCCACAGGGTCTCCCTAGGAGGAGGTACCTAAGCAGAAGCCCGTTGGGAACCCATGTTTCCCCTACACAGGTTTACTTACAACACAGAAGGTGGGTTTTCTCATCTGCTCTCTCAGATGACAAAACAAGCTCCAAGAGGTCAAATAAGCTGCCTAAAACCACCAGCTGGAAAGGCAGGAACTTGAACCCAACCTGCTGACTATTCAGCCTCCCCTTGACTGGGGCCTGGGCTGAGGGTGGTTTGCAGCAGACATAATCACAGCTGCCCCAGGAGGGTGCAAGCCTGCTCAAGGGCAGCCACAGCCACTTCCCAGTCTCATGTCCCAGTTCATGTAGGCCCAAGGACAACACTGAGTGAGAGCACCCAGTCCAAAACCCTCTTCTTGGGGGACACAGAGGCCCAAAGAGGGGCAGGAAACCGCCTTGTCACTGAGCTGGGCCTCCCCAGCAAGTGCTCCTTTACCCACCAGGCTGCACCCCAGGATGGTGGGGAGGGAGAGGAGAGCTGAGATACTACCCTGGGAAAGCCGCCCTGGCCTCTGTACAGGGCCGACCTCTGAGCTGCCCCACCTGCCCAGTGCAGGGATTTGCACATGCCACAGCACAGCTTCGCTCTTTCCCAGTGTGACACCTCTTTGTACCTCAGTCCCTCCCAGTGAGAGGGCAAGGCTGTGGCAGAGGACCAGCTATACATGCTGATGGGGTCACACAGAGCCACCGGAGCCACCCTCCATGGTGTGGGCCATAGACTGGGGGTGAAGAGGGAACGAGGCCTCACTGTCTTCTGCTCCCAGCCCTCGGTGGGATGGAGGTGCGGTGGTGTACCACCTCAGACCCAGAGCAGCAGAAATGCAGCGACATGAGCAAGGCCTTCCAGGAAGCTGGTATCCAACCCTCCCTCCTGTGCGTCCAGGGCACGTCTGCCGACCACTGCGTCCAGCTCATCACGGTGAGTCCTCTCCCTTGTGCTCTGCTGCCGCCACCACCCAGACAAAAGGGCTCTGACTCAGGATGGAGCACACAACAGCCTCATTCACTGGGAAAGGCTCCAGGGTCCCCCGCAAACCAGGCCGGTGATAGGATCTCCTGAGTTCCCGTAGCAACAAGGGCCAACTTGTTTCCTGCAGGGCCCAGGCCAGTGCTGGAGGCCTCGGAAAGGGCCCCGGCTCAGCTGGGCACCAGTGGGGAGAGGTTTCTGAGAAGCAGGGTTTTCCTTCCACAAGGCCCCTGCTAGCATAGGGACAAGCCCTACCCACCCCAGGGGAGCCCAGACAACAGGCCCCTCCGTGACTCATGGTGGTTACTCACTCTGCCGTGGAGTTTTCCAGAATGGGGCTGGTGTGGTTTCTCAAGAAGGAGAAATGGGGGCCAGCAATCCTAATGAGGCTCTGTGTGGTGGTGTTGGGAGGCTGGGGGAAGAGTGGCAGATCTGCCAAACTAGCTCTGATGATACTCAGAGGCAGGACTTTAGTGGAAAGACAAGGTGATGGAGGGAAGCCTGAGAGGCAGGCACCAGGGAATCTAGGTTTTCAGTTCAGCTCAGCCCTTGGTATGCCCCCAAAACCTGATCCAATCATAGTCCCGCTATGACAGACTCAGGGGGTTAGGTCAGGCTCCACTGTGAGGAGGCCAGTTACAGGGAACTATAATTCTGTCTGTAGACACACTGAGAGTGCCATTTGTGTTTTATAATGAAAAGAAAAAAGATAAAAAGGGCATTTATAGGATTCAGTCTGCATCTTACAGAGAAAACCTGAGAAACCAATCAGCAGTGGAGGCAGGGGGCTGAGAAACAAAACAGTGAGGTAGACTCACTTTTCCCTAAATACCATTTTGTACTGTCACCTGAAGTCAACACGGTCATTGCACTTAAGGAAAAATGTTAATCAGTGGCTTACGAAGGACCATGATCTGAGAGCAGCCCGGTAGCGTGTTCTGATAAACTGCTCCAAAGCCGCTTTATTTTGGAAGATCTTAAATACGTTTTTACAACAGGGGGTGGGTGCTGGAGAGAAGTTATGTCAATCAATACATCAGGGCAGCGTTGTAACAGAGCAGACAATAATATTCTGCTGCCATCTGTGTGTGAGAGGAAGCAACGATTGGTAGGGCTAATCATTCTCCTGCAGCATTCTATTAGGGATGTAAGAACTAGACCAGCTTGTCTTGTTTGGAGCATTCCAGGCTGTTTTTTTTCCGGTCGTGGGTGAGGGGTGAGGAGCTGTGCGTTCTGTGACACAGGCAGTGCAGCTGCAGGGTATCTCCCCAGCGCAGCAGGAGCCCACCTGGCTGACTGGGGGCCCTCACCACTGCACGGCTCTTTGCCTGTGAGGCCACTGTGGGGAACACAAAACTTCAATTTATTTCACAGTACTGTCTGATTTTTTTACTATGTATTATAAGTCCTATAAAATTAATTATTTTAAAATAACATAATTAGAAAAACAAGAGAAGCCCTTGGCCTAGGAGATCTGTCACCTTGGGCCTGGTAAATGGGAGACCCCTAAGCCTTGGTGGGGGCGGGACCTGCAAGGCTGAGCCTGGACAGGGCTCCTGGGCCAGGTGAAAGGACCAGTGTGGACCTCCAGGGCATTTCAAGAGGTCCTAAGCAGACTAGGGGTCATCCCTGAGTGCCTTGCTGAGTAGGCCCAGGGAGCTGGGTCTCACTGACCCTCATGTTCTCAGCAGGCCCGGGAGGCTGACGCCATCACACTGGATGGAGGAGCCATTTATGAAGCGGGGAGGGCACATGGCCTGAAGCCCGTGGTGGGCGAAGTGTATGATCAAGGTCAGAGGGCTGAGTGGGAGGAGAGGCGGGAGGGGAGAGGCAGTGGCTCAGCAGTGTGTCCCTGCTGGGCCAGACTACCCTGCAACCCCCAGGCTGGTCAGTAGCCCTGGCAAGCATGGAATGGGGATCAGCCTGGGCAAGAGGTGGTACCTGGGAGCCCAACAGACCAAGAACCGAATCCCAGCACCGCTCCTTTCTGTGATCTTCTGTGACCTTGGATAACATCTGCTTCCTTGACTGCAAAGTGGGAATAGGGATCCCTGCCCTGTCATATGCACTACACAAGCCAGTGTGTGGCACCTGACATGTAGTATGTGCTCAGAAAAGTGCATTCCTTTGTTCATTCCTGACTCAGCCTGCCCTTTGTACCTCCCCCCCGCCTCTACTTGTCCAAGGCCTATCCTCTGTCACAGCTCAGCTGTCACCTCCAAGCAGCTCCCCTAAGCCCTCCCACCCCAGCAAAGGGCCTCTTTCCTGCTTTTTCAGAGCACTCACTCCTGCCACTAATGCCTTGTTTACCGGTCAGAATTGTTTACGGAGCAGAATTTCACCGGTCAGTCCCCTGAGGAGTCCCCCTGGGTACCTGGCACCCAGCACAGGGTCTTCTTGCTTGGTTATTTGTTGAACTGATGACTGTCAGATGATACAGGACAGTCCAACCCTGCAAACCAGCCAGGCTTTCCACTCAAAGTCTAGGAACAGCCCTGCCTTGTGGGCCCCAAACACCACCCTTCCTCTTTAATTATTTCAACACATTTATTGAGCACCTATTATATGCCAGTCATGAGCATAGAGTAGTAAGCAAGAGAGCCCATTCCCACCCACAGGGAGCAGGAGTCAGAGAGAAAACAGAGAAATGTAGTCATATACATGGTGTCTGCTGCAAAGGAAGTAAGGCTCTGAGGGAGAAAATAAGGGGTGTGGGGAGAACAGACAGGAGGGCTTCTCTGAGGAGGTGACTTTTATTTTGAGCCTTGAGAAGGTTCTCATGTGGGAAAAAGTTTGGTGTGTTCAAGAAACTAGAAAGGGCACAGTGGGTGAGTCAGATGCTGGCCAGAGCCAGATCCAGGTGTGCAAAAACTGACACTGGCTTTGTTTTCTAGAACTGAACTTCATTCCAATCCTGGGCATCCCACCACCACAGGGCCATTGTGAGAGTTGGGACATGCCCATGGTCACCTGTCCCTAGAGATGAGTCATCCTTGGTCTGTTGGGCTCATCCCTTCTGGGCCACATATACCCCAGGGGAATTTTTGCAGAGCTGCTGACCCCTGCCGACCTATATGCATCCACTAAGACCACATTGCTAGCTTTCCTCTCTTCCCAAGCACCTCCCTCAGTACCAGGAAAACACTATTCCTAATCCAGAGGAACTCCATGTCCTGCTCCCCCTGCTCCTCCCAACCACCCTTCTTCCCACAACCATGATATCATTCCCTCAATCTTTCTAAATTCTCCAAAGGCCTAGACTTTTGGAAAACAATATACTTGGAGGCCCTTTCTGCTTTTGGTGCAGCTACAAAGCTTCCCCGATGTGCACAAATGGAGACCCAGCCAAGTGCCAGCTGACTTGGGAACGAAAAGGAAGAAATTAACTAATGAATTAATATGTCAAGATAGAATCTTGCACATGAGGGTGGATGAGGGCGGGGTCTTGGAGGAGATACTTGCTCTCTCAGTCACAAACACAGCACACCTGTACACATGTGGGCCCACGCACACATACATACGCGTACCCGTGCCCTAGGTTCACATGCGTGCACACCGCCCTCTCCCACTGCTCTTGCCGGTCAGGGTCCAGGCCTCTCCCACGGATTCCCCCCTGCTGCTCTCACTCCCCTCCTCTCCCTCCTTCCAGAGGTCGGTACCTCCTATTATGCTGTAGCTGTGGTCAAGAGGAGCTCGCCTGTGACCATCAACACCCTGAAAGGCATTAAATCCTGCCACACGGGCATTAACAGGACGGTGGGCTGGAATGTACCTGTGGGCTACCTGGTGGAGAGTGGCCGCCTCTCGGTGATGGGCTGCGATGTGCTCAAAGGTGAGGGCTTCGAGCTGGGCAGGGGCTTCTCAGCTCCTCCTGGGTGGTCCTCCCTTGCTTCTGTGCATGCTCTTCCCTTCCTGGATAGCCCTGCTCTGGGCTCATCTTCGCCTCAAGCCTCCTTTAAGGAGCATACAGATCCTCTTCTCTGGGGCCTCCTGGACACCTAGTAGGTGGGATCACTCCATCCTCTCTTTCACACTGGCTGCTGGTGTCACCACGATTTAAGTTTCTGCATGATTGGCTCCGGAACTGTCACCACTTCTCAGTGTCTGTTCCACAGCATTCCCCAACACAGCAAAGCACAGTGCCTAGCCCACAGTCGGGAGGTGGTGAATCGCCAACGAGTGGCACTCACCTCGTATAGATTGCTATTTCCAGAAATGTGTCCTGGGCTTTACAAGGTCAGAAACTATTTTTTTAGGACCCAAACAAGCTGCTGACTTGCTCCCAAAAAGCTCACAAGTGGCTGATCAGAGACCCACTGCTCCCCAATCGTCATTTGTAGTGAGAACAGGATTGTCCTGAAGCGGGAAGGGAATTGAGAGTGACCTGAAGGGGGTTGTTGAGAGTAAAGCTCACCAGGGGGTGAGGCGGAGACCTGAGGGGGCCTGGCCGAGCCCCAGCCCTCTGGCTACCTGGGTGGGAGCCCCGCATCTCACGCTCTGGCTCCTTTTCCCGGCCCCCGGCTGTGGCAGTCTCTCCATAGAGGGCACAGCCACGATGAGGTACCTGTGACATGACAGCCACATTCTCACACTGCCTTCTGAGGTTACACCACAGCCCGAGTAGAGTTTGGTGTGTCCCCAAGTCCCTTGTCCGTGAGTGTGCCTCCTGGTTTGCTCCACAGGTGACCAGGACTTCAGGAGGGCCGGGGGGTAGCATGCCAGAGAGTATAGTGGGCTTTTAAAGCCTAGACTTTGCTGTCAGATAGATGTGGATTTCAATTCCGGCCCTCAGGTAGGTTACTGTATCTCTCAGTTTCCTCATCTATAAAATGGGAAAATCAGCACTTAACTACGGTGCTGTAAGCTTGGGAGGACTGAGATAATTCACACACTGTCTTCACACAGTGCACAGCACAGTGTCCTCACTGCAGGGAGCTGTTTTTACTATTAGCTCAACTTTCATACCTCTTGGGAGCACCTCTGTTGTGCACACACATGCATGCATGGACCCATGCATGCACACACGGGCACACACATATGGGCATACCCCTACAAGCACATGCTACACATGCACACACATACATACATTGACCCCAACAGCCCCAACCACTGGGCAAACCAGCACAGCCCACAGAGCCAAGAAGCCATGGCCTCTCAGTTGGGGGCCAGTGTGAGTGGTTTTTCTGTCACTTGGAACATTTTTATTAAATAGCCTCTCCCCTGGGAGGATGCAAAAAGAAGACCAAGAAAGGGAGCCAGCCTGGAAGAGCACAGTCTACCTGGGCGACGAGCATGATGAGACAGGCTTGGGTGCAGAGCTGGCAGCCTGCTCACCGTGTGGCACTAGGGCATCCTCTGCAAAGGACAAATATTTGCCAATAGGGTAGACATGGAACCCCAGTGCTGGCAGGGGCCTGAAGAAAACAGGCAGATCCTGACCCCTTCACCGATGAGGCTTTCTTCTCTGCTGTTCCCTGCCTGCCCTGGTTTTTGAGAAGTGTTGACTATGAAATTAATTATTCTCATTAAGTAATAATTTATTTCTTCCCCACTTTCATTGATTACACATAACCAATTCTGAAATGAAACCCACAATGAGAACAGTATTTAGTTGATAGTTGTCCTATGTGGCCATTTTGGGTTAAATGTTTTAGTCCCCCTCCAATTTCACGCCATTTTTAAATAACAATAGTCATTCCCCGGTGCCCCTTGCTACTTTTGTGGGCCCAGTTTGGGAATCACTGATGAATTCAGTTCCCCAGTTCTGCTCCGACTGAAGTGGACTGAAGGTCCAGCGACTCCCTGGGGATCCAGCCCATCCTGACTGCCGCCTGCAGGGGCCTGAGCCCTTCTCTGGGAGACCAGGTGGGGGTCTCACGCTGTGTGGCTGACTGACTCCCTCTGCCTCCATCCCACAGCTGTCAGTGACTATTTTGGGGGCAGCTGCGTCCCTGGAGCAGGAGAGACCAGCTACTCAGAGACTCTCTGTCGCCTCTGCCGGGGTGACACCGCTGGGGAGGGGGTGTGTGACAAGAGCGCCCTGGAGAGATACTACGACTACAGCGGGGCCTTCCGGTGAGAGGGCGGGGCCTGGCCGGAGGTGAGTGAGGGCAGGGGCCTGAGGCCACAGAGGCTGGAGAAAAACACCTCGGCAGAGAGGCCCCCTGGGAGAGTGGCAACGTGAGCCAAGTCCCATCAAAGCGCCCTTTATATAGTCCGTGTGCCTGGCTAGTTTAAAAACATCACACTGGAATATGCCAGATTGGATTTTCTCACAAAATCAACATATGTGGTATATTTAGAGAGGCGAGGCTCAGAGAAAAAATGGTCCAGTCTTATGTCACTCCCATGTCCCCATTCTGACATCTCAGACCAGCAGGAAGGGCAGTGGGGGTTGGGGAGTGTGGCAGGGGCCCCCAGCAGCTTGACATTCAGGGCTGGCCTGGCTCTGCCCCTGATTCAGCGGGCACTTTAGAGAAGCCCTCCCTGGAGTCAAAAGACAGTCTCCAACAGCTTGTGGTGCGTTTCCGTCTGCCCACAGATGAGGAGGCATGCTCAGTGGGGACTGCAGTGGAAGCCTCCTGAGTCCTTCCAGCCACCCTGGCCTCAGTGTCTCCTCCTGGAAGGGGGCAGCCTGCTGGTGCCCTCATGCTCCAGGGTGTGATCTGGGTAAATGCAGTTTTTGACTCAGAGAAAAAGCAGTCCTTGGTCTTCCAAGCCAGAGACTCTCACTCAGCCCACCTCTCCTGGTGTCGTCTCCCCAGTACAGTCCCCACTTACCTGCTGGTTGTGGGAACCTGGGCAGCACCTTTGCCTGATGCCTGACCTGCCTCCGTCTCTGGGTAGGGACATACAGTGAACAATTAAGTCACAGGTTTTTGGTATGGCATGAGAGGGTGTAGTCCAGGTCCCTGCCTCAGGACAGGGGGTCTTCAAAACATCCAGAGCATTAAGGCTGCCAAGAGCAGCAGCAGCCCTATGAGCACCTGCACCTCCAGGCCCTGAGCTCAGCTGGATAAGATCTGTATGGATTACAAGGGCCCTCTCCCTACCAGGAACCACTTCATTCCCACCTCACAGATGATAGAGGCTAGCACAGCTCCACAAGGTGGCAAAGCCACACAACCAACAGACTGGGGAGCTGGAGCCCTAGACTGCATGACTGTGAAGCCCATGTCCACCATGAGCAGCCCAAGGGCCAGGCCAGACCCTCAGGGCGAGGGTGGGCAGGAGCTCAGGGGAGCTCAGCAGCACACAGGCTCACTGGCTTCTCCACAGGTGCCTGGCAGAAGGCGCAGGGGATGTGGCCTTTGTGAAGCACAGCACGGTGCTGGAGAACACTGACGGTGAGTGGGAGGGGCTGCCCAGCCCTAACTACCGAAAGTGGATTCAAACTGCTCTGCGAGGCTCTGCCCTGTTGTCATCTTTATATGGCATTGGGTTCTAGTTCCACTTGAACATTAGCATCTGCTTTTGGAAAATCTTTTGCAGATCTCTGCACTTGGTCTCATCTACCATCCCTTCTCCTTTATCTTGAGAGGCCATCTGTTAACCCTGGATGAGGTCTTATTAAAGATAGGCTCATGTTATATGTTGATCCATTATATCATTGCTATTTAAATTTTTAAATTTTTAAATAATTGGGCTTTAGGAAAATTGCAAGAATAATTCAAAGAACTCCCATTCATTCATTCTTCACCCAGATTCTAACTTAACAGCATTTGCCACACTGGATTTATCATTCTTTCCATACATGTTTGTTCTTTCTGAGCTTTCTGAGACTATGTTTGCCTGTGTCACATCATTTAACGCTTCGGTATGTATCTCTGAAGAACAAGGAGATGTAGACCAGGCACAGAAATCAGATTCAGGATGTAACATTGACATAACACTGTTATTTAATCTACAGTCCATATTCCAGATTCACCAGTTGTCCCTATTCTGTCCTTTGTAGCAAGTTTTTTCAGGCTCAGGACCTGATCTGTGATCACACATGGTATTTACTTGTTAAATCTAATCAGTGTCCTTTAACTTGGAACAGTTTCTCAATCTTTGTTTTTTGTGACATTGATATTTAAAGAGTCAGGCCAGGTATTTTATAGAATGTCTCCTAATTTGGATTTGCCTAAGGACTGTTTGTTTGTTTTTAATGGAGATATAATTTACATACAGCAAAATGCACTCTTTTTGAAGTACAGCTCTATGATTTCTATCTAAAACACAGTTGTATAATCACCACCACAATCAAGGGCATGATTGTGACAGGCCCTTACCCCCAAGCTTCTTCCATGCCGTTTTCTAGCCAACTCCTTCTCCCCACCACCTGGCAACCACCAGTCAGACTTGTGTCTGTATGTTGGGCTGATCCTAACATCTGATCATTGTCTTTTTTAAAAAAATCATTATCCTTTTTTGTTAATCTTTACTTTTTAAATCAGAAGGTCTATCATATAGTCTGACATTCATGAAGACACACAACATGAACTGGATTTTGAGAATGAAAAAAAAAAGTATTTGAAACAGGAGGAAGCACACTGGATTGTCTCCGGAGCAAGATGGTCCTGTGAAAACAGGAGGCCAGACCTGGGCCTGAGATGAGTCAAGCAAAGGAGAATTTGGAAGGTGGAGAAAGAATAGGGATGCATTGGGTCAAAATCATCTCTTTTTAAATTTTGGTGGTAATCTAAGGACATCTAAAAAAGCAATTATTTAAAGAGTATCTTTATGAGGAAAGATCGGTAAGAGTAAAAACGTGTAATTGACGTAAATGTCTAATGTAGTGAAGTTATATGGCTGTAGCTGTCCCCAGCCAGTGAAAACTGGAGTGGCAGATCAAAATCCCTAAATAATGCATTTGTCTCCTGGGAAAGCCAAATGATCCCCCAGAGTGCTGTACAAAGCTTTTGCAGCAGATCAAAAATAGAGAAAACTTGGGCTGGGGAGAAAGCAACACTGAGTAATTGTTGAGAGCGCTATAAATTATCATGCAGTCATTAAAAATGACCTTTGTGGAGTTTTCCAAACCATTATTCTCTTGGGTTTTGGTTTTTGTTTTTAAATAGTTTTGGAGTGAATACAGTTTTCATGATTCTACAAACTATCTCTTCCCCTCCTATGTCCTAATAGAGGTTTATCCTCCTTGTTTTAAAATTTTAAAGTCATAAAAATATTATGTAGGACCATCTGTGATATATTTTATCATGTGCATTACAATCCTTAAAATAAGTCTTCCTAATATTCTTATCTGGTGTTAATAATCACTCTTTCAAATAAATCTTTTCTACTAATAAATGAACTTTATACAAAGCTTCCAAGAATGTGGAAGAATATTTTAAAGTGGTAAGTGAAAAAAAACTAGGATGAAATACTGCCTATCAAGTATATCTTTAACCGTATTTAAAGTGGTTAGATAATAGAATAGAAAAGACTTGAAATAAATATATCAAAATATTAATAGTTATATTAGTATATAGGCAAAACTTTGGGGAGTTTCTCTTTTCACTCTGGGCCACGGTTCTGTCAGGGTTTGTTCCCACCACGGCCCCTGCCCTGTCCTCTGCTCAGGCAAATGTAATGCCTGATGGCCACTCCTGGTACATTTCTCTTTCTCATCCTAAATTCTCTTATTCTTTTACTCTTTTTATCTTCCATAAATAGTCCTATTTATATGTGTTGTATTATTGGCAGATACTGCAAATCCATTTTATTGATAGAAACTGGTGAGAGAGAAAATGCAAGTAAATAGACACAGTCTCTGGAGACATGTGGTTTTATAACATGCAGCCACCAAGCTCCTCTTCATTCTGGGCCTGGTTCTCAGCCCTGGAAGAGTTTCTTTTTGCTGTGAGTCTGTGTCCTTTGACACCCTAGCCTCTCCCCAGGCTCACTCTCCTGGCCTTCCCTGAGGCCCTTCCCAGCTCCTCCGAGGACAGGAGTTAGCTCACCACAGGTTTACCATCTTCCCAGGGAAAACCCTGCCCTCCTGGGGCCAGGCGCTGCTGTCACGGGACTTTGAGCTGCTGTGCCGGGATGGCAGCCGAGCCGATGTCACCGAGTGGAGGCAATGCCACCTGGCCCGAGTGCCTGCTCACGCTGTAGTAGTCCGGGCTGATGCAGATGGGGGCCTCATCTTCCGGCTGCTCAACGAAGGCCAGGTGACGCAGGGCACCCCCTACGCAGCTTCCCGGGTGGTGCTGGACCTTCTTGTATCTCACCAGGATGGGAGCTCAGGGCTGGTGCCATCCTGGGGCTAGGCGACACCTGAGGACCTCCCGTGGGACCGACCCCAGCCAGGGGCCTCTGTGGTGTCTAACCTCAGGCCAGGCCAGTGTGCAGGGCAGACCGCCCATGCTAGCTGGTAGTGAGGACAGCTGGCCACAGAGGGGATAGCAGGTGCTCAGGCTCCCCTTAGAGAAAGTTCCTGGTTCTTGTGGCTCTTAAGCCAAACCAGAACATAGGAGCAAATAAACAAAATGATAAACCAATCAATGTCAAAGTACACCATTAATTACAGCGAATAATATTTTGCTGAAACCGCTACTTACAAAAGCAGCAAATTTCTGACTGAAAACACCAGCTTTAATTTTGCCCCATCCAGGCCACCTCTGCCAAGCCCCATTGCCTGTCCTCAGTACCATCCCAGCCTGGGCCACGAGGGTGTTCAGTCAGTTGAGTGTGACAGAGGGCACTGGGATTGCTCAGAGTAGGCGCCTGGCCGAGGGAACAGGAAGAAGGAGGTGGTGGCTGACCTGGGAGGAAAGGATGTGGCCCTGGCAGCACCTCACCAGCCCCACCTCCACCTTGACACACAGCGTCTGTTCAGCCATGAGGACAGCAGCTTCCAGATGTTCAGCTCTGAGGCCTATGGCCAGAAGAACCTGCTGTTCAAGGATGCCACCTCCGAGTTGGTGCCCATTGCCACGCAGACGTACGAGGCGTGGCTGGGCCGTGAATACCTTCATGCCATGAAGGGTCTCCTCTGTGACCCCAACCGTGAGTCCGCCTATCTCTTCTCCCGCTGGCTGTGCCCAGCCCGACCGCAGGAGTGGCAGTGCTTCCTGGAGAGGTGGATGGGCAGGACACTAACCCCAGGGGTGCCTCTTGGCCTCCATAAGAGCCTGTTGCTTCCACCTCCCTGCCTCTGGGGTTTGGAGGAGGAAGCATCTCTGGAGCTGCACGGCCTGCTGGATGCCTGCTCCACAGGGCTGGGTTCGAGCCGTCAGGGCCTGTCTTGGGAAGGGTCTCCTTGCCCCCCACACAGAGGTCATCAAGTCCTGGTCAGTGCCCCACTCCTCCTCCTCTCCACCCCATGGCTCAGTCCTTGTCTCTCACCCGAACCACTGCAGTGGCCTATAAATATGCTTCCTGCCTCCAGCCTCCTTCCCCATATAACCTTGCCTATAGCCAGGGAAACAGGATGCCACTGAGTTAGATGCATGGCAGCCATGAACTGCCTTCTCACAGCCCCGTGAAAGAGGGACAGTTATCCCTTTCTGTGTGAGGAAACAGATCCCTTATAGCTAACAAGAGAAAGCCACAATTTCCCTTGTGTCTGACTCTAAGTTCTTCCTACTGAGGTGCCAGCCCTCTTGGCCCCTGCCCCAGGGGCCATGCTTGGCCCCCACCTCTGAGGCAGGTGAGCACACTGGGGAGCACATGTTCACACCCACACAGGTCTGCCCCACTACCTGCGCTGGTGTGTGCTGTCCACTGCCGAGATCCAGAAGTGTGGAGACATGGCTGTGGCCTTCAGCCGGCAGAGGCTCAAGCCGGAGATCCAGTGTGTGTCGGCCGAGTCTCCCCAGCACTGCGTGGAGTGGATCCAGGTGGGGCCACCCCCAGAGGAGCACAGCAACCCAGGTGGGAGGGCCATGGTGGGGCCTGGGGTGGTCCTTGCCGGCCTGCCCCCTGCCCTGCCTGGTCTGGAGGACCCAGGGCAGCCTGGGGGGAGACGATGGTTTCCTGTGACAACCCCACAGATAGGAGAGGAGGAGGGACCCGTGCAGATGGGCAGAGGTAGGCTGTTTCCCTAGGAGAAGCCCAGATCCTCGCCGAGCAGTGGGCAAGGAGCAGAAGGAGCACAAGCCTGGCCCAGCCTGGCACCCGCCGCCCCTGTGGTTTCCAGCAAGCCCCCTCCCTTTCTGAGGCTCAGTTTCCCTTGTGCCCCACAGGGCAATGGGGTGGGGGCAGCGTTGCATCATTGTTATACATTTTGACAGCAACCCACAGTCAGAAATGCATTTTACAGCAATCACACCTAGCACACCAAAACATTTCTATCAAAGGTAAATGTGTAAAAAGAACATCCCTTATTTAGAGACAGGAAGCAAAGCAGTACTTACCCTAAGTACAGTGTACGCTGATATTTCTATCGGCTTGGGGGTGGAGGGCTCTTTATTTTCCTAGTGCTGGGCAGGCTGTCCTGGGTGTGGGTGGCAGGTTCCATGGGCCCCAGAGCAGGAACAGATATCGGAGGGAGGTTTTAGCTCCCTCCAGGCAAGAGCCTTCTGTCTGAGTTCACAGAGGAGCAAGGTGCTGCCCAGGGGCGTGTGGGGAGAGGAGCGGACTTTGGGGCTTCCTTAGAACCCCAGCAAAAGGCTCAGACAGCCTCAGTTCTAAGGCTCAGATTTCGTGTCCAGTGTGGCTCTGACTCCCATTTCTTGCCCAGCCACAGTGACCCAGGGAAGAGACATCAGCCAGTCTGGGCCCAGGGCTATGGGTCCAGGGTTGGGCAGGGTTCCTCTCCTAACACAGTGGGTCGGAGAAGGTCTGGGTGGGGGAAGAGAGGCCCCCAGAGATGGACCCTCCAGGCTCAAAATAATGCTACTGCCTGTTATTCCTCCACCATAACTTCATGCCTCTGGGTCTGAATGGTGGGGGACACCTTCCTGGGGTGCAGGTGCCCCTTCTCTCCCCTGACCACCCCCTTCCCTCAGGATTTGTTACCCTACTATGGCTTGATTATGTTAACCCTTTAGCAGGGTTCAAGGGGCCACCTGTTCAGAGGCTTCAGAATGGACAGGCCAGGTGGAGCATGGGAGACCTGCAGGGCTCCAGGGGTCCAGGGGAAGAGGGCCTGGGCCCCTCTGGCTGCCTTCTGAGGAAGGCTTTATCCCTCAACCGTGGAGCCCCCTCCACAGGCCCTAAGACAGCTGTCCTTTGAGAACTGGCTCATTCCTCCATTTGTACACACATTCAACAAATATATAGTTGACCCTTGCACAATGCAGGGGTTGGGCCACTGACCCCCTGCACAGTCAAAAGTCATGTATAACTTTTGACTCCCCAAAAATGTAAACTACTTATAGCCTACTCTTAACCAGAAGACTTGCCAGAAATATAAACAATTGATTCACACATATTTTGTATGTTATATGTATTATATACTGTATTCTTACAATAAAGTAGGCTAGAGAAAAGAAACTTTTTTTCGAATTGTCACTAATCTCAAAAAAATTCTCATTATGTTTATTGAAAAAATCCATGTGCAGTTCAAATCCATGTTGTTCAAGGGTCAGCTGTATATTGCATTTGTGCTGTGTGCCACCCCTTGGCCAGGTGTCAGGGATACAGCATGGTCCCCAAGAGACCGAGCCCTGGCACCTCCATCAGATCCCACCACCCAGAGCTGTCCTGGGGCCCTCTCCAGCCCAGTCCCTCTTTCTCTCTTCCTTCAGGCTGGACAAATTGATGCTGTGACCCTGCAGGGTGAGGATATCTACATGGCAGGGAAGAGATACAGCCTGGTTCCAGCGGCTGGGGAACACTATGCCCGTGAGTGCAGGTGCTACCCGCCTGGGCTGGGCTGGGCTGGGAGGTGGTTGATATTTACATGTATATATAATGTCATCTCGCAGCTGTTTTCAAAAGCTCCAAATCCCACCCAAGGACTCTCCCTGGGCTGGTCACTGTCTGCCCTGGGCAAGCCCCTCCTGCCCCAGCCCTCAGTTTTCCCATCTAGTCATTAAAAGTCTGGCAGGCATTGGCAAACCTCCTGTACAGGGTCAGAGAGTAAATACTTTTGGCTTTGCAGGCTATATATAGACTTTTGCATATTTGGGGTTTTTTAAACAACTTTTTAAAAATATGAAACCATTCTTAGCTTGCAAGGCTGTACAAAACAAGCCAAATAGTTTGTCAGCCCCTCTACTAGAGGTCTTCTCAGCCTCCTCCAGCCTGAGGCTCATGAAAGGGGCCCTCAGCACCCTCCTTCCTGGAGCTCATACACCTTTGCAGTGGCCTGAGCTTGGGCCTTGGTGCTCTGTCCTCTTAAGTAGGCCCCAGGTCCCTTCCACTTAGATGTGAAAAATCTCTGGGCTAAGGAAAAGTGCTTCTGCAGACCCCAGCTGTGCCTCCCCCTTTCTCCCAGGAGGTGAGAAAAATACCACCTGCTTGTAAGGAAAAGACAGATATCCTTTTGGGTGGGAACTGTTATGGGGGTGAGAGGGACAGAACTCTGAAAAGTGGAGCCACTCATCAGTGATGTGGGTACAAGCAGGGGTCCCATTGCTAGATGTGCTGACATGCACCCGGCCCCCAGCTGGAGGAGTGCACTAAGGGAAGCAGGCTCCCTGTGGGGATTTGCCCCCACTTTTGTCCAGCTGAGCCAGGAAAGCACAGATGAAGGGCCTCACTGGTGCCCCCCTCTCCCAGTGGAGGACAGGAGCAGCTCCTACTACGTGGTGGCCGTGGTGAAGCGGAACAGCTCCTATGCCTTCACGCTGGACGAGCTTCGGGGGAAGCGCTCCTGCCACTCAGCCTTCGGCAGCCCCACCGGCTGGGACATCCCCGTGGGTGCCCTTGTGCACAGGGGCTTCATTCGGCCCAAGGACTGCGATGTCCTCACAGGTACCACCCTCCATAGGGGCACAGATGCTAAAACTCTTCTTTGGGGATGGCTGGGACAGGAGCCAGCTCTGGGGCTTTGGGGGCCCTCTCCCAGCAGGACCCACAAAAGGCAGCCCAGAGAGATTCCCCCTTCCTCCTTGGCATGCCCCTTGTTCTTGGGAAGATTGAAAATATTCTTGGCCACACTGACAACAGTCTGTGAGGTGTCTGCGTGGTGGGACCATGGAGGGTGTCATGGCACCCCACCCACTTACTCACCCAGAATGGAACTAGCTCCAGTGAGTATGGGGAGCAGGGTGCACACATGGGCTTCTGGCCTGGTATATCACTGTCCAGTCATGGGGCTGTCCCCAACCCCCACAGGCCCCAGGAATCTGGGGTACCTTGCTGGAAAGTGGCCAGCTATCTGAATAAGACACATTTACCAAGCACCTGCCATATGCCTTACACAGAGCCCGCCCTGTGTGTTAAATCATGCACATTCATGGTGACAGGAAGGCAGTGGGAAGCTGTGAGATCCCTGGGCTGACTGCGCACACACCTCTGTCCTGGCTGGCACCTCAGGGAAAAAAACACACTTCTTCCTAACCACCTAAACAAGCACATGGAGTGTTAGGGTGGCCACTCCCACTCCCAGGCAGCTGGGCAGTTGCTCTGACTGGAACAGAAGAGCTTATGAGATAATGATTTCCCCATCATTGAGGGAGTACAAGGGAAGGCTGGGTGACTACTTACCACAGCTTGTCCATAAGATTCTGTATCTAGACAACCTCTGTGTTCCCCACCCCTGGATTATCCAAGGAGGAGATGGGCTGCTCTGAGAAGGGTGGGCAGTGGATCAAATGGGCGGCCTTGAGCTGAGAGGCCAGCCCACGGGCAAAACTGTGGGGAGGGACCATCTCCTCCCTTCCCCAGCCCCTCCCTTCCCCAGCCCCCTTTCTGCCACCGGCCCCTTAACACGGCCCTCCCCTGGCCCAGCGGTGAGTGAGTTCTTCAGCGCCAGCTGCGTGCCTGTGAACAACCCCAAAAACTACCCAGCCTCGCTGTGCGCGCTCTGCGTGGGGGATGAGCAGGGCCGAAACAAGTGTGTGGGCAACAGCCAGGAGAGGTACTACGGCTACAGCGGCGCTTTCAGGTACTGACTGGGCGGGCCCAGCGCGTGGACCTGGGGTCAGTGCAGAGGCTGGGACCCTCATGCCCTTACCTGCCTTGACCTTTTGTGTGTTAGGTGCCTGGCTGAGAATGCAGGGGACGTCGCCTTCGTCAAGCACACAACCGTCTTTGACAACACGAATGGTACATGAGTGGGCTGGGGACAGAGCAGGGCCAGATTCTGGGCACTGGGTGTTGCTCAGAATGGGGGCCAAGCGGCAGCGAGGAAAGACTGAGTCTAAAAGGCCATGCGCCTTAGAGATCTGAGGGGCGCCAAGGTAACAACCTCAGGCCATACATCCAGGTGTGCAAGACACATGACAGTCTTGACTGGTGTGGAATCCAAATCCCCATTCCACCAAAATGATAGAAACTCAACCTCAACCAATTTGGAGAGACCCCTTCCAGGGTGTTTATGTAGTTCTAAGGGGCACGGGTGGGGAAGACCCTCTCTAAGGGTCATCAGTTCACATCAGCATCTGGTCTTTGGTCCTGAGCAAGTCAGGGCCACATGCAAGGAAATCATTGCAGCCGCTAAGCCACAGAGGCAGAGCACAGCCCCATTCATAGCACATGGGGGGTTTTCCCTAGAGTCACCTTCCTGGGATCTACCTGGAAAAAAAAGCCAGGAACTCTGAGCTCCATGACCCCCTAAGCCCTACTGGGGTACATGATTTCCCTCCCCTCTCCTCTTCCCCCTCCATCAGGGAGCCTGTCGTTTTTGAAGGCTGGATTCCGTTTCCCTTCAAACCCTACTGTTTGCTCTTTCTGTATATTGTGCCTACACCACAGGCTTTAGAACCTCTGCACTGAGGCTTAATCCTCTCCACTCTGTCCTAACATATCTCTTCCCAGGAATACGTAGTGTGGCCTGAAGAGGAAGCAGAGATTGGTGAAAGGGCACCACATGCAGAGAAAAACATCAGTTCACATTTCAGAACTCAAGTCCCATCCTGCCTGTGAAGGTCCCTGGGGCTGTAGAACAGTTGTGGACAGAGCTGGGGACGGCGCTGCACCACACGCAGTCTCCCCTGCCAACCTCCCACTACGAAGACTCAGACTCGGGACCATGCCCCAGGGGCCGGGAGGAGGGAGTGTGTGTTCCCACAGCAGCCCAGGCTCTCTGTGGTCCTGGGATGGGGTCCGGGGAGGAAGGCAGGGGCTGGACGGGCCCTTACAAGATTCACTTGCAACAAGGCCCCCATCTCCCAGGGCCACACATTTCCCTTATTTTTATGCCTACTCATGGGCCCACCTGTAATTCCTTCTAGAAAAGGGAAGAAGGTGGATACTAAGTGAATACCTGAAGACATAAAAACTGTGATTCCCACAGGCAGTATTTCTCAGGAAGTCCTTGGACCAACCCACCAGCTTCAGAATCACTGGGTTGCTGGTTTAAAATGCAGATTCCTGGGCCACACTCTAGATCTACCAAAGGAGATTCTCTGCAAACAGTGGGGGAGGGGTGGGGGTGCTTTGAAACAGCCTCCTACAGATCAACAGGTGAAGCTATGCCCTCTGCAGGTTAGGGGAGGAGGTCAACCACCACCTCCAAGAGCCCAGCCCCACCTCAGGCTCCAGACCTGAAGCCCACAGCTGGGCTTTTTGCCGGAGAGTGAGTGCCTCAGTTTCTCCCCCTATAAAATGGGGGTAATCATACCTGCCCTGTGTTACTGTCGTGAGAACTGAGCAGTGCTTGTAAAATGCCTGTCACATGGTAGATACTTCCTGCTACCAACACTCTCGGCCCAGCTGGGTTCTCAGCCTGGTAAGAGAGCAGAGCAACTGGAGAATAGAGAGGGTGGCCAGATACTCCGCCTCTCCCCAGTCAAGGATGTGGGATCTGGAGACCAGAGGAGAGCAACCTGTCTCTCTTCATCCCTCCCTTCAGGCCACAGTTCCGAGCCCTGGGCTGCTGAGCTCCGGTCAGAGGACTTTGAGCTGCTGTGTCCGAATGGGGCCCGGGCTGAGGTGTCCCAGTTCGCAGCCTGCAACCTGGCACAGATTCCGCCCCATGCCGTCATGGTCCGGCCGGACACCAACATCTTCACCGTGTATGGACTGCTGGACAAGGCCCAGGTGAGCCCTGAGGGGGCCGTGTCATTTGGGAGTGGGCGACAGAGGACAGCCAAGTCCCCAGGATGACTCAGGCTACCTGGAGCAGACCTCAGGAGAAACTGAGGAAGCCTGGATGTAAATTCTGTGATTTTCATTTAGCCAAGACATTTGTCCAGCAACTACCCTTTCTGCCTCATGCATTATTAATTTTTCCTTCTCACCTGGGCCATTCTCTCCAACACACAAGCCTGCTGTAAATTCTACCATCTTTAAATACAACTGAACCCTCTCCTGGTCTCGTGTGTTCTCGGAGCCATAATCCTGCTCCCCTCACAGCAAAGCTCCTTTGCAGAGCCAGCTCTTCTCTGGGCCCATGGCCACCTAGGCCTTTCCTCTGGCCTCTAAAGGATGGGGACTGCTCTAGACAGGCCCCCACCAGGGCCCTGAAACTGCCCTGCTCGAGGTCACAGTGACCCACGTTGCTAAGCCAAATGGCATCCACCGGGCTTCTCAGCAGCACAGGCCACAGCTGCCACCTCCTGGAGGCCCTGTCCCCCTTGGCGGCATGCCCACACCAGCCTGGCCCTCCTCCCAGTCTCCTTGGCTGGCTCCTCCCTGCTTCCCAGGCCTGGGCCTGGAATAACTGCAGTGCCCCAGGGTTCAGTCCTAGCCCCTCTTCTCCATCTGCACCTACACCCCTGTTGACCTCACCCAACCCTGTGTTACCAACTGCCATCTATTTACTGGTGGCTCCTAAATTTATACCCCCAGCACTGCTAACTTCCCGTCCTTCAGTCTCAAACTTACAACTCGAACAACTGCCTACTTGACACTTTGACCGGTATTGCTAACAGGCATTTCAAACTGAACAAGTCCAAAACAGGGCTCCCCTCCTTCCCTCAGCCTCTGCTACATCAGTGTCTTGCAACTTCTGCCTTTCATTTTCTCAGGAGTCATCTTGGACTCCCGTCTTCTGCTCATCCTTTCCATGCAGCCCATCAGAAAATCCTGTCAGCTGCACCATCAGAGTCTATTGAGAATTTGAACCCAGGCTGTCTGGCAACAGGGCCTCTGGTTCCTAATGCCCCCTTCCCCACAGCCCCCTGGAGTGATGTGGGAGGAGATCCCTGTGTGGGTGTACAGCTTCCTGGGGAGAAGGCTCGTAGCTTTCAGCAGACCCTCAAGAGGATTCTTGAGTCCCCTCAGAAAGACTGATGGCCACTTTACTCCTTTGTACTGCGGTAGCCATCATCATATCTCACTCCAGATCCCTTATGATTTCAAATCAGAGTCTTGGCACCCTGAAATTCCTTGCTCTTTGGTTCCTGAATGTAAAGCAGTTAGTAGCAAAGGACACCACTTGTGAGCCCCAATGAAAAGCAGGTTGGCTTTGGCACCTCCAGGACCTGTTTGGGGACGACCACAATAAGAACGGGTTCAAAATGTTCGACTCCTCCAACTATCATGGCCAAGACCTGCTTTTCAAGGATGCCACGATTCGGGCAGTGCCAGTGGGGGAGAAAACCACGTACCTCGACTGGCTGGGTGCCAACTATGTGGCAGCTCTGGAAGGGATGCTGTCTCAGCAGTGCTCGGGCACAGGTAGGCCCTGGCCTGGGGGGTGGGCAGCCAGGGAAGCACTGGCCGGGTAGGTTCACATCCCACAGAGCAAGAGCAGGCGTCCTGCCATATTCCCCGGGCACCAGGCCCAGCCAAACCTCTCACGTGGAAACCCTGAGGGAACGGAAGGGTGTCCTGGGAGGTTACATATGATTAAGGTGAAATATCCCAGGAGGGTCTGAGCAGGACGGAAGGCTGCAGTCAGTCACAGCAGAAACACTGGCTGTGTAACCCAGACACACCTGGATAATGAATATAAATGCTACATGTAATATAGTTCAGAGGCTTGAGGCAACTATATAAATATACATGTGGTATAATTTCGAAAGGAATGAATATATAAAGAAATGGGGGAAAAGAAAAATTGTAATAGGTTAGAAAGAGGGAGCCTGGGGTGAGTTTGTACACAGAAGTTTGCTCATGAAGGCCCACCCCTGCAGCTGGGGCCTGACTGCCTCTGTTTGCGCCCCCAGCTGTCCCTGCCTCTCCGAGGTCCCTGCTGCCGCTCCTGCTGTGCCTCGCTGCGGGCCTCCTCCTGCACTCTCTCTGAAGCAGCTATGGGCCAGCCTCGCCCTCCCTGGGAATGGAAACCTACTCAGAAATCTCCATAAAAGTAAAGCTGTTCTCCTCGATAAATCCGGTTAACACTGCTCACAGAGAAATGTGTGATGGGAGAGCAAATGTGAGAAACCGTGGAGCTCTTCAGATCTGCAATTCCCACACTGCAGACAAGTTTCCATGATTGCTTCAACCTGGAATAAAGATGAATGTTAAAGTTCCCCCACTTTGAGTGGGATGTGAGCGGGTCTCTCCTGCTGGAGCCCAGCCTCCGCCTCCCAAGCACCACCTGTCCCCCTGCTACCTGAGGCGGAGTGCTGGCCAGCCTCCCAGTCACGCCCCACCCACCAGCTGGCACCCTGCTTCCCTGCAAATCTGCAGGCCCTCACCACGGAAGCCTCACCAGGCTTGGCTTTGGAAAGGCCAGTTACCAAGTAAACAGGCTGAGCCCGGGCTTCCACAGGCCCTCTCTGCTGGAAATTGCCCTGCAGAGCCATGCAGGGAGGACCTGGGGAGATGACAGAGCCTGCGGGCACCTCCTCTGCCGGTTCCTACTTCCCCCTCCAGAGAATGGACATTGCACCTGGCACCCTCCCCATCAATCCCCACTCCATCCAGCCTCCCTCCTGAGGACACTGTAGCTGCCCACCAAAGGTGGCACCCACCAGCTGAGCCTGTACCAGGCCCTCCAAGGAGGTGAAGCTGCTGGGCAGAGGCAGCCCCTTGCCCTTGTCTTCTGTGAGTTGGCATAGCCCAGACCGCTGCACCCCTGGACTGGGGAGGGAAGGCAGGCCGGGGCTGGTCCTTGGGATGAAACCCTCAAGGGGTCCTCAGACAAAGGAAGTGCTCCTCAGTCAGAATTTTCACTCGGTGTGGGGCCTAACCTGGCCCAAACACCTGTGTGTTGCCAGGAGGGTAGGCCTCAGATCCCCCTGCCTGTGTGCCCCGCCTTTCAGTGAGGTCAGCTGCACAGGCTCTGCTGGGGCTGAGCCCTGTCAGCAGGTATCCTCACTCCTGAGTTTCCATCACATTATCCCCTTCCCCTGCCCCAGTGTGCCGCCCATGGCTTCTCAGGCTGAGGGGCTTGGCCTCGGGGACTGCCCGATGCGCTCTGGACCCTGGAGCAGGACGTGGCCAGGGCCTCTAAGGCAGCACAGGGCCCTCTGAGGAGGTGGGATGGGGAGATGCCTTTCTCCTCGTCAGAGGATCTATAGGCCCAGGTCCCACTGGCAGAAGATCTGCCTCCTCAGTGTGAGCCGGGGTCTCCTCACCCAGCCCTGCACCAAGTGGGCCCAAGGGCCACTCATTCTGGAGGGAGGGCTCCTCCTTCCAATCCCTGGCAAGTCGGCAGAAAGTGCCTGAAGAGGGTCTTCGCTCTACTCCATTTTTGCCAGGGCTGTCTGAGGAGCCGGAAAGTTTCCAGGACTGCCAGCTCTTACTCTGCAATTTCAGGGAAAAAAGTGAAAAGACGGAGAAGAAACTGGAGCAAACCACCCTCTCAGCTGACTGGGAGCCGCGTGGGCCTGGAGCTATTTGCATCCCAGTCTGCGGGGGCCTCGGGGGACGCTGATGACAGGCCAACTCCCTGCGCTTCGCCCCCATCTGTGGGCACTGGGACAGATCCCTTCCATCTCTCAGCAGCGAAGGAGGCCCCTGGCAGCATCCTGGCTGTAGTCACTCCATCCAAAAGAGTCCTGGTCACGGTGCTGGGGCAAGCCCCCACCCCACTGAGGGGGGCCAGAAGGAGCCGGCCTCTGCTACCAAGCTCTGTACCCTCCTCACTGCAGAGAGTGAATGATTCTTCTCGGACCTGATGATTTTATTTTAAGGGAGATTTGTGCAGTGAGAAGTGTATTTTTGTGTGGCTACCTGGGCCACCAAAAGTGTAATCTGTGTGAATGTTTCCTGATATATGATTATTAGTTGACAGCAGAGGGCCACTGCTCTTTTGGTACTAATAAGAGATGTTAGTTGGTTTGCTAAATAAAGCCAAATACCTGTGCACCTGCTGAGGCCTGAATTCTGATAGAATCCTTCTGCAGCTGATTGGTTTTGTCTTAGGTGGTCAGAGGCCCACCTGCTCCAGGTCACTCCCTCTGCCCAGAAAGGCAGTTTACACTCAGGGCCCTGTTCCCTGAGAGCTGGAGTCAGGGACCAGTCTAGGCCTCCAGCCAGTGAGGCCCTCAACTCCCCTATCCGATCTACACTGGGCCCCAGCACTTTTCATCCGCCTCCACTCTCCCAGCCTCTTGGGTGTCTGCTCTCCAGGGACCCGGTAGGTACTTGGTCTCATTTGGGAAGGCCCCTGAACTGGTATGGTGGAAGAAGGGGCAGTGAGAAGGTGAATGACTCCCCAAAAAGGGCAGGCAGGTCCTCCTGGGCCACACAGCAGGTGACCATCAACCCCACCTCCCCAGGGTTCGCTGTATGTGTTTACAATGAGGACAGAGACCTTAGGACCATATTCTCACAAAATTCATGCATTAGGCATAAATGCAAATTTTTAAAAAGATAGTTCAAAGTAGAGCATGCACCCAGGAGTCAGGAAACTTCTGGTTCCACTTTTGCCATTAATCTTGGGCAAATACTTTCTCCTGTCTCAATCTCTGTTCCCAAATCTAAAAAAGGAGAAGTTTTAGATGGCCTTTCAGTGTTATCTAGCTGTAACAGTTATTCTGAGACTCAGCCATCTCAGTCTTTACAGGATTATTGCCTGGTCCATGCTGAAGCACAGCGGGGCTCATGGGCTGTTTAATTTCAGCCTTTCCCAGCTGCCTTCGCACGGGCAGGAACTGGTGCAAAGCTGATTCAAAGCCTGTGAGTCATTATACATCCGTGGTCCTCAAATGTGAGTGTACATCAGAATCGCCCAAAGGGCTTTTTAAAGCCCAGAGCTGGCCCCACCCCCAGGGTCTCTGATTCCTTGGGGGCCAGGCGGGACCCCAGCATTTGCATTTCCTGTAAATTCCCAGATGCTGCTGCTGCTGCGGCTGCTGAACAGGCCTCACTCTGAGGACCACTGTTAAGACGGTGTGAACTCACACCCAAGAGAACAAGTCCTGCCCCAGCAGGGGGAGAGCTTGGGTGGGAAGGCTCAGTGGTTAGGAGGCACTCATGGAGAAGCCTGGGCCCAGCCTGGAGGAGGCTTGGGCACTGTCCACGGAAGAGGTGGGGTGTGCGGCACGATGCCAAAGCGCCCAGCCCCAGTGTCCCAATGAGGTGGCTCAGGGTCTGGGCCACCTTCTGCCTTCACGCTCCTGCCTGACACATGGCTGTCCCCTCCCACTGGTCCTGTGCCCGGCCCTCCCCACCGCACATTTCTGAGGAGGGCTATCAGTCGGGGGAGAGGACTCAAAGATTAGCATGAGGAGGATGTGTGGTCAGAACACCCCTCTTCCTCTGTCCTAGCTGCTGACGTCCCTGGATACCTCCAACTGAGCAGACAATCCACTTTATGGTTCTCTACAGGAGCCAGCCTTTGAAGAATGCAGAGAAGGGCCTGGTGACTTCCTGGGCAGGGCATTCTTGGTCAAAATCCTGATCTAGGCAACTTCCCTTTTTCCTTTCTAGCAGACCCCCATTTGGTTCAGGATGGCAGTGTGCCCAGCTAGAAATATTCACTGTGGGTGAGCCCCTTTCTGACTGACAAATCCATGTAAGTATGGACTGCAGGAAGGCATTTGAAAAGGAACTAACTGGGCTAGCATGGCCCTTCCCTTCTCCTGCTGGGAAAGCAGGTATGACTGATGGAAAATGGAGCTGTCGTCATGCTACATGAAGCAATGAGCACATAGAAAAGGATCTGGTGAGCTGAGCAAAAAGACAGAAGCACTGGTGTAGAAAAGCAGCCCTCCGGCCTGAGCTGGTCTGATCGGATTCTCTGATGGCCAATCTGTTGTTTCAGCTGAATGTATTCCTAACATACAAGTGGCAACAGTGGAAAGAGCGTGAGATGGGCCCTTGGGACTTGTCCTGGTTGTGTAACATGCCATGTGAGTCTGGGAAAGTCATGGCCCCTCTCCGGGCCCCTTTCTTCATCTGTCCGGTTGAACCACCTGGTGTCCAAGGTGTCTTATGCCCTTCTGTGGCTCAGAATCAAGAACTAGAGCTGGCCCCAGCTGAAAGTTCCAGGGTTGGGCACAAGCAGAATTTCAGTGATGGGCAGGAAGTCACTTTGGGAATGGGTGGCATCCTGGGGTCAGTGTCTTATCAGTGTCTTATCAGTATCAGGAAGGGAGATCATGAGGCACAGAATTAGAGGTGTCAGCAGTAATTCAGGCCAGTTGTCATAAGCCTTTGAGCATCCCCAAAGGGGCTCACATCCCCCCCAGGGTAGCTTTGCAGATTTGGGCCCCACACACAGCCCCCATACTCAGGTGGATGGCCAGCTGGAGCTCTCACTGCTCCTGGGAAGGACAGAGCCTGGAGTCACTGCAGGAAAATAGCCTGAGACCCTTCTGTTTGGTGGCAGATGGGTCCGAGTCAATCTCTGTGATGTGTGGATTCACTTAGGCCTGGTCTCCTGTTAGAGCGCTGGTCCGCTAAAAGTATGAAGTCTGAGATGGTGTTGTGTGAGGGGGTAGAAAACCAGAGTACTGTGGTTAAAGCTTGGGCAATGGACACATGCTGCCCTAAGCACACCATCCTCCACCCTGGCCCAGCCACTGCTTTCTCCTTGCATGTATTCCCTAAGGCACCTGCTGCTTTTATGAGCTCTCCGAGGGTGGGGCCCTGCTATCTCAGCAAGAGGAAGAATGCACCAAAGGCACTTTTGAAAGGCAGTCTCTGGGCAGAGGTGCTAACTGATAACCTTGATAGACAAGTTCATGAACAGGCGAGTGGGAGTCAGCTCAGGAATGCTCAGTTCCTTGGAGATGAGCTGGGAGCCTCAGTAAATAGGATCCTGCCACCAAAACTCTGGGACTCACCTGTCCTTCCTTTCTACCTTCCCACCCACTTGGAAAGGCCACCTTGGAGCCCAGGCCCAGTCCTTGATGGAATCACTGTACCCCCAGTAAACTGACCTTGGACTTCAGGACACACTGAAGGGAAGAAGAAACCTTGCCTTTGAGAACAGTAAAATAGGTTCATTTATGTCTCTTCCATTGGTGAAAAGCTATGTGTGTGTATTAGTGGAGGAGGGATAGTTATAACAGATGCCTTCACTTTTTGTTTTGTTTTGAAAAATAGGCCTTGTCTAGCTAAGATATAAAATCTGATAATGGAATGACTACCCGCAATCATCTCCAGTCTCCCCAACAAGTGCAGGAGAACTGTCTGCTGCCCTGCACCTATCTGTAATTTCTCCCCTGCCAATTGTGAGCCATCTTCTTCAATTCCACATACCCAGCCCTGACTGCAGACTTGGTGTGCTGAGTAAAAGAATGAATAAAAGCATGAATCAATGTCATACCAAGCCCAGTCGTCCATTCTGCAGGGATCCTGTCTGGCCCATTGGCAGTCTTTGGCCCAAGTTTCTTGAGCCCCTGCCTGGCCCATTTCCCTCTAGGGGGCCAAGCCAAGCCCCTTGCAGAGAGGCAGGCCATCAGCAAGCCCCACCAGACCCTGGCAGGGTAGGTTCATGTGCACATATCATGCCTTTGGATTTGGACATGAAATTTTCACAGCTTTGGGGGCAAGGGCTTATCCCTGCCCCTTACCTAGAGCTCCCCCAGGGAAAAGCTGCATCCCTGAGTGTGTGTCTGTGCTGACCTGCCTGAAAGCCCATGGATGAAGGCCACTGGCCACTCAGGGAGGAGCCCCTGGAAAACAGGAATCCAACCAGCATGGCCACAGCTGGGGGAATTTCCCTTTAAGATCAGCCCGTTCAAATGTGCCTTAAGACAGTAGGTAGACAAATGGCCAAGAAAGAGGTTTAATAATGTCCACCCTAGAGCTTCTGTAGTTGCAAAATACTGGAAACAATGTAAATACCCAGCAGTACTGGGGAGGATGAGTGAAAGATGGTACATACTTTTTTTAAGTGGAACACAGTGGGTTGTCTGCAACCATTAAATGGAGGATAGAGCTGTATATACTGATGAGGGAAGATTTCCATGACATGTTGTTCACTAAAAAGAGCAGGTTATGAAATAGTAGATGATCCCATTATCATAATCTCTCTCTCTCTCTCTCTCACACACACACACACACAGACTGACTGTCTAGAAATCTGTTCACCATACTAACTGTAACTATATCCAGTTGGTGGAATTTAAGGATAATTTTGACTTTGTTCTTTAAACTCTGTATTTTGAATTTTAAGGCATTCAAAATAATGAATCATTTTCATTTTTCAATGAATAGTTAAACAAGCAAACAAAAAATAAAACCTTCCATGGTTCTGATCACCATCCCAATGTCTCATGTCCTTTCCTCTTGCCAAGCAATTCCGAGTCGGCCCCAGTGAGGAGGAGAGCAGGGCTGCAGAAGGAGCCAGGCTCTCTGCTGCTCAGTACAAGCTGTGGGACCTTCGAGAAGCCACATAACCCTTTAGAGCTTCCATCTCGTCCTTGAGCGTCTGCTTCAGGGGCTGGTTGGGAGGTGTGAGTAAGAGGTGGATTATGTGCCCACGTGGCCTGCTGGAGGGGATGGGGTGAGGCTCCTGCCTGCCCAGGCCAACCCAGGAGCCCAAGCTCAAGGCCCCTGTGCCTGTAGTTTTGACCTCCCCAGCTTCTGCAGGGCCTCTCATCTTGAGCCCACGGATGCCTGCCAGGCAGTGAGCAGACATAGGAAGAAGAAGGGGAAGCCAAGAGGCCAAGGTTGCCTCAGGGAAGCAGAAAAAAGCCCAAGCTCAGTGGCATCAGCTAGAGGTGCGCCAGCATTGGAATCCACCAGTCTGGTGCAGGGCTGTGGAGCAGACAGGAAGGGCTGGAGCCCAGGATCAAACAGGCTACTTCAGGCAAGCTGGGGACACAGAAATCTCCCCCAGCCCCTCCACCTACCACCCCTCTCTTATTCACACTCTTGGCTCCTGAACACCCCATCTACCCAA